ACCCCTAAGAAAATGTGCTACTCTTCTTTCATCTACTCAAAGCTCATTCCATGATTTATATAAACTTAAAGGTATGTGGTGTAGGATATAGATGGCATCTCCCTGTGATCCCAGGAGCTCACGGGAGAATGAGAGAATGAGTTCAAAGCCAGGACTTCAAATAGGGACTTTAGAACAGAAAATGTGTGTGAAATAAAGAGGCATTTGTGATGGATCAATAAGTGATACCTTCTAGTGCCTTATGCTTGGAGAGAGAGAGACACTTTGTGATCAAACTTTTTCTACTGATTTGGACCACATTCGGGCCTTTTGTTTTAATGAAAATAATAATAAACTTCCCTGGTTAGTTACACTTTAGTCAGTTTTGGTAAGGCAAGCTAGTGTCCCTCCTGTTTATCACAAAGCCACTGTATATATTCATTGCTTTCTCATTTAATTTCAATTTGTATTATCTCTGAATTGAAACATGCTTGAGGATTAAGCGTTAGTGAGCCTCAAATAGGCTAATTATGTTGTAAGATAAGCCTGTCCTAGGCCTTATAAGAACATTTGTTTTGGCACTTCTTTTTATCAGTGGCTAAGTGACTAAGCAAGGCACAAAAACTACCTTCAAATATGCTTGCTCTAAATTTGGGATTTTAAAAATAGAAGGACTGGCAGATCACCTTGCTTAGGTGTGCAAGGCCCCAACACTGAAAACAAGCACAACCCAGAACAAAGACATGTAGTTAGTTATGTGTACATTAACTAAAACAGATGAGGATTTTTACTGGTTAGAAAAGATAACACTTTAGGACTATGGGTAATATAATATTGATATGTACGTGAAGGTTTCTTCTGTAATGGGATAAGATACAAAGTAAATAAATCATAGGGTCAAACGTGATGGTGCAATAATGAGGCAAATATAGGAGAACTTCCAGTCACATACTGGATTAATGTTTACAGAGGAACACCAGTGACATCTCATTGAGAAATGGATACGGGACAATGCTTTCACAAACCATGCACTGTGGCTGAGGGGCAGACTTTGTATTCAGGCTGTGGAGAAAGGCCTCTACTGATGGGTCCTGGTACATGCTGTGTGGCAGGGCAGGCAGGAGTCTGAATGGGTTCAATATGGAGAACAGAGACACCCAAGACAAGCAGGTGTGGAAACAAGGGCTTAGTGAGTGAGACAGCTCTGTTGTGTAGCAACTGAGAGGGAAAAACAGGTTAGCAAGACTGAAGAACGTTGGATGATGGGCTAAAGCTTCTCAGCTCCAGTGTTAACACTGAATGTTAGATGCTTTGGGAGCGGATATTCATTTAGTCAGTATTAGTGGCCACTTTAGGATATACAATGGACCCAGGTCACAGAGAAAACAAGAGATTTCTGCTCATATGGAGCTTATATTTAATGGGACAAAGATGATAAATAAGCTGGGTGCAGACAGTAATAGTTCCCCTGGGTAGAAAAATCAAAATGAGGGATAAGGAGTGAAGAAAAGGCAGGGTAAGTCTGCAGTAGTTGACCTGGGTAAAATGAAGAGCTGTCCTCACTGTGGGACAAGCATTCCTGGGAGAAGTGTGGGCTTTAAATGCAGAAATGATAAATAACTCCCTGGTGGGGTAAAGCTGTCAGGTAAGAGTTGATAGGGCAATCGAGGAATAGAACGTGTGTGTTCTGTGTGTCACTGCGGAGTTGGATTCTGTAGGTAAGATGGAAATAGTTTCCTGTGGGAGCCATTAGACAAGAACGGGTAGGCTGTTGCAACATGAAGCAAGGCTGTGACCTAGGCAAACCCAGAGCTGCAGTGACGAGTGATAAATGGTGGGTTTGTAAATGTTTTGGGGGATTTGTTGGGTAAGCTAGGTAGGGGTTGTAAGCACAGAAAGGAGTGTTGTGTGATGACTTTCCTGAATCAGTACTTTGGTGCTCAGTTCCTCTGGGTACAAGGCCCCCTCCCTTCTAGCAGGTACACCGTGTGTAGGACACTTTGGAAGAAGAGGGTTGGTGCTGGTTCTCTCCTTGGTTTTAGCCAACCATCCCTATGGAGGACCAAACAAAGAAAATGTATCAACTCTTGGCAATGTCTGGGGTTTAGAATGATGAAGGTCTGAGTTGTATCATCACAGATTGGGAGCCTGGAGGAGAGGAAGGCAGCACAAACCAAGATCCATTTGGGGACATGAAGATGAGGTACCTGTTTAATATCCTGGAGATACTGGCCAGTTGACAGGTAGACAGAGGACTCAGGCCTGTGTCTGATTCTTAATGTGACATGTCAGGTGGAGTCAATAGAGTTAGAAATTAGGATAAATTTATAATAAATAATAATACAGTTAGAATTAGGACCTTTGACCTCAAAGGTCTAGATAGGGAAGGCATTCTGACTAGTGGAATCTATGAACCCATCTAAGGGACACTGTGCTAAAAACAAGGACCGTGACAGCCTTTGGAGTATGACCAGGAAAAGAAGAGTGGGCACAGCAATCAAGAGGAAGGTGTTCAGGGTGCTGCTGCAGTAATATGACCAGGCCATGGAGAGTGGGCACAGCAATCAAGAGGAAGGTGTTCAGGGTGCTGCTGCAGTATCTTGGGAGAAGTCATGAGAAGATTTGGCTTGGGAAGGCATGAGAGCTTGGAGAGTACTGGTAACATACAGAATGTGGAGGTAATTCTCAGGGAAGTAAAAAAAAAAAAAAAAGTATTCAGAAAATACTTCCTAAAAGGGGAAAACTATAGAGTCAAATAATGAATGGATTTGTGTGTGTGTGTTGAAGCAGACAAGAGGAAGCAGTGAAGGAGGGAGATGAAGATGCTAGAAGCAAAGATGCTAGCAGCAGGGTGGCAGTCTGGACACTGCCTGCATGACCATGTGCAGAAACAGCACTGTGGTTTGAGGCAGGAATTGAAGGAAGAGAATCTGGTATTTTGAACAAGAGTGAGGGGAGTGGTGAAAAGGGGTTTATATGGTCAATGAAGTCATAATCACTATTTTGGGGCATCGGTGGGCTTCTTTAACCCTGGGCTTTGCCTGCAGAAAGTATAGAAGAAACTAATGAGGAAAAAGAAGCTGAGCAGAGGCAGACAGTGGGAAATGAGAAGTCTGACAGGTGGCCCAGCAGCACAGGGAAGTTGGGATTCAAACAGGTCCTGGGCTGGAGAGATGACTCTTCCATGAAGAGCATGGCTTGCTCCTGCAGAAAACCCTTGATTCACAGTACCTTGTGGGTAACTCAACAACTGACTTAACTCATTCCAATGACTCTCATGCCGTCTGCTGGACACATCAGGACATTCATGAGTGGTGACAGCAGAGCCATCGAAGTTACCAAGAGACTAATGGAACCTGGTTTTGCCACCTTTCCTAGAAGTCAAACAACTACAAATGGAGGAGTGATGTTAAATACGCTTTCAGAATCATCATGGTAATAGCTCCTTCCCCCACCAGCTCTGGAGCAGCGTTGACATAGAGGCTGGCAGCAGCAGTGGCAGGTGACAGAATGTGGAGCTTGTGGGCTGAAGGGATAGGCATGGAGGACTGTCGAGGTGACACAAGTCAGCAGTGATGTTTAGGGATGTGTCACTCTCATAGCTAGACAACTCTCACGCTTCAGGACTCCAAGAGTCTCATATGCCCATGAATCTCCAACAGCAGAATTTAGTATTATGTACGTATTAGGGCCTTTATTTTCCGGGAGAATCTTTTGGCTAGTGTTTAGGATATTATAGTAGGAAATTACCAATACGGAGTCAGGTAGAAATATAAGGGTATTTAATAGGGAAAAGCCTTACTTACAGAGCGAACCAGCCAGCCGGTGGTAGTCTGTACAGCAAGAAGCAAAGAGAAACCGAAAACGCAGACCCTTACTCACTCTCACCACGCCCTCACAAGCCTGCCCAGGTACTCCTGTAGCCAGCCCCTAAGAAGGCGTGGCTACAGCTTCCCCTACAGGATATACTTACTTTAAATGCTAAGTCAGAGAAGCTCAGCAATGTTCAATGGTCAGCTTTAAAGTCTCCAGGCTATTGAAAGGGAGCCATCAGGTGAAGGTAACGTCAAGTTTCTTGTCTGCAGGGAAGCATTTCCAGGATTGTGGCTTTGTTCCTAGAGAGCTGGGCCACACTGCCCCAATTAGACTAATGTGTCTACCACTGAGTCCCATTCAGTTGAGTCATCAGAATACTGATGCTACAGGGTGTAAACATGGCGCTGTATGACAGTATACAGGGTATAAATGTGGTGCTGTCTGGTAGCAGTGTCTACATGATATAAACATGGCAGTATATGGTTAGTAGTGTCTACAGGGTAGAAGCATGACAGTATAGTTAGTAGTATCTGGGTTTTAATACACAGATAATTCAGATAATCTGAATGAAAGCAGGACAGAGCTGGATGGTCTTAGAATTACTAGGCCTTTTCCATTTTACTCTAAAAACAAGCAGATAACTATCCAAAGCAGATACACCAGAAGCCTTGGAGCACTGTCCCAGGGACTACCCTTCAGGCAGGGTCCTAGTTTACATCAGTCATCTGAGCAATAATCATGACTCTGCAGTGAAGAGCAGCTTTGTTCTTAAGTTTACAATGGCACACACTAGCTTCTGTCTCTCTGATTTGCAAAAAAGTGGTAACTAGTGGGGACAGTAATGCTGCCAGGGCTGGACATTATGTAGCCTGAGTTGGTTGTAGTATGTAATGACTTTTGCCCATATACAGACCTATTCACAATAGTGAGACATGCTGTAGGAAGTTCCAGAAGAATTTTGTTGTTCTAAATGCAGATGAGTGTTGTGAGCTTCCAATCTGTGTCAATAGTCTAGTCTTTTCCACATATATCTTATTACTTAACTTCCTATCAGTCCTGGTAAAAGAAAAGTCCATGCATGTTCTTTAGATATGCACTCAAGATAACATTTGATCAATACAGCTGAAGTTCAAAGCACATGGAACTACACAGCAGTGGCAGGGATTGCTTTCTCCCGCAAATGTCTGTCTTTTCCTTGTTCACAGGTAAAGTCGGTAATAAATCTTCTGTTTGCTGCGTATACTGGAGACGTGTCTGCCCTCCGGAGGTACGCTGGCTGGGTGGATGTTCTGTGGCTTTGGGTGTTTGAAGGTGCATCTGCTCAAGCACCTGTCCTAAGGTTAAGGTGTCACTCCCTTCTAATAAAAGCCACCCAAACAAGGTATAAACTACCCTGCTTCCACTTAAGACCACCTCCTCCAGTGTATTGGACCTTCTTCTTGTCCTTCAGTAAAGCCCAGGTCTCTGTAGTAACTGGCCCACTAACTGTCTAGTGGTTCACTGAAGCAGAGCTCTGGTGAGGTAGGAGGCAGAATGTTTGGTGTCGTACATATTACCAGGACTAGAAAGGCCATGGACCATTGAATACCGAGTATGAATACCCTTTCAGAGTTGCAACTCGCGTTTAAAGTGGACATGGCTAAGCTGATTTCCATGCCGTTTAAAAGTCTTATCAGTATGTGTAACTCCAGGCAACGTAGGTTAAAAGACTGGGAGTCATACTGAAAACATGTAGCTTTTATAACTAGACATTTTTGCCTCTTTAACACTATTCTCAAGTTTAAGTAATAATATAATGAAGCTTAGTTGTGGGAGAGACAGCTAATGTTTCTCTTCACAGTAGCACAACTAAGGAAGAGAGTTCACATGGCATTTACCCACAGCTGTGTACTGGGTGAACTGGTTACCATTTAATGACACTGGTAGAGCATGAAACCTGAATGAGAGGCCTAGATTGAACTGCTGGAGTTAAACAAACAAACAAATCGCTGAATTAAACTGATCTTGTATAGTGAACAGCTGTTTATGAATTTTCAGGTTTGCTTTATCAGCCATGGACATGGAGCAGCGGGACTACGACTCCAGGACAGCACTCCATGTAGCTGCCGCAGAGGGTAATGCATGAACCACCCTTACAGTTTTTCAAGTTTTAATTCTACTCAAGACTAAAATATTTTTTTGTGTGTATTTGGGGGTTTTAGGTCATGTTGAAGTTGTTAAGTTTTTGCTGGAAGCTTGCAAAGTCAATCCTTTCCCCAAGGACAGGTGAGTGTTTACATTACCCTCTAACATAATTGATAACACAGTGTGAATACACAAAATTGTAGTGTTGAGCTGTAGTTACATGTGAATCCACCAAGGGGCTTTTGTAATAGTGGTGTCTTACAAAGGCAACACACAAAACCTTGATTTCTGCGTGACATCGAACTCTGTATCTAAGAGTGAGTGGTATCTTACTCAGAAAATTCAGGTTGGATGTATCAGCCCATATGAAGAAGACAATTCTTTGGATTTGAAAAGATGAAGTGAATTATGTTCTCATGGGACTAACTACACAGGATAAATACACAGAAGTATGGAAAAATATTTTTTTAAAAAAAGAGCTTGAGAGTGTTGGAATTGATTAGTATTCCTGGATTTGGTGCAATTATGGACGTTGGATTTTCAGTGGCCCATTGGAGGAAAGGACATTTGAAGCATTGAATGAGGAAGGGTATTCTGCCTGAAGTGGGAAGGACTACCAAGAACACCTTGCTCTTCTGTGCCCCCTCCTGGCTCACATGGCTACTTCCCAGCTTGGGGCTGAAGGCAGTGCTAAGCATGTATCACTGTGCCCACAATTGGGCATCCTCTCCTAGAGAGGAATAAGTGAGCCATCAGTGCAGGGTAAGGACAGAGGCTTAAAAGACTTCAAGGGAACCATACTTGGTGCTGTTGGATGAGTAAAGTTGGCCATGAAGCCTGAGAGCTGCACAAAGTTTGGAGCAAGTTGACTACCTCCCAGGTAGTCATTACTAAAAAGAATGAAGTTATGTTGGCAGTGTTCTAAAATCTCAAGGTAGTTGACATTCCTCGAGCTGATCTGATTACTAAGCCATTGTTTTGGGGGCCTAAATCTTGGCAGGCTGGAAAAAGTGAGTAGTATCTGAAAGTTGCTGGCAATTTTGTGAGGTGGTAACATGTTGGCCTTATCTCTATTCTGGTGGTTACTAAAAAGAATGATTGAAGTTATGTTGGCAGTGTTCTAAAATCTCAAGGTAGTTGACATTCCTCCTGTCTATCCAGTATAGTGTCCACTATAGTTATCTGTAGAGTAAGAGACTGAAAAGTATCTCCCTGTGTTTATAACTCAACTCAAACACTACTTCATACATGTTGGAAATACTATGTGAATTCTTCCACTCCAAATTGGTCTCTAAGAATGTAGAAATACAAGTGTCCATCTTATAGACTAAGGTAGCTAAATAACTCAGTAACTGTGTGTTTAATTGTGTATCCAGAAATGAAGCCTAGACCCAGGAGTATTTTCCCCATGAAATACAATCAGTATCACCTAAATTATAAAATAGCAAGAGTGAAACAGTGTATTTGTTACCGGTGGTCTTTTCATTATGTAATGGAAGAGACGTAAAGAAGATGATTTAGCAGACCCCACCCCCCCAAAAAAAAAAAAACTGACACAAATGTTTGGTCACATTTGAGCCAATGACTTCCTAATGAAAGCCATATAGCAGAGTTCAGCTGTGTCTTGAGAAACATAAGAGACGCGTAAAGTGTTACTTACCTGATTTTAAACATTAAGAACAGGCCACTAGAAACAATTACAATGCTAAAGTAAGCACTTGTTGTTTTAGGCTGTGACCTATTAAGGTGAAAGGTTCAGGATAGATACTAAATGCTGCAAAGAAGCAAAAGCGGGAAGGTGGGAAGGAACAGGCGGGCTCATGGGTCGTGAAGGAGCCAGGGAGCATGCCTGGTGTTTGTTGGGTCTTGGGCTTTTGGGGTGCAGAGCACTCAGCTGACACTCAATTCTGTGGCAACTCTGCTTGTCCTTGAGTCTCCATCTCCTCCTCACAGTGTGGGCGGGGAGCTGTAGTCAAGCCAGTTGAGCCTGCAGCTTCCTGCCCTTTCTGGATACAATAGAAGATTGCTTCCCCTGGGCCGACCATGCTTATCTGACATAGTTAATGTCAAGAGGTTATTAGAAACCTGGAAGACTTCTAGAGTTTACTGTGACTTTTGAATTCTCAGGAACATACATTTTCTGTGAAAGGTTAGGATGATGCATGTTACTACCTGATTTTTAAATACCTGCCCCTCCTTTAGCACACGGATATGGAAATGGTCTTTTCATTGAGCTCATTCTGTTGTCCTCCTCGTTATCAGATGGCTGCCTCAGACCAATTTCTGTATTCTAAGTCCTTTTGTGTGTTTTTGCGGTTCTTACTTGTAACGCTGCTAATGTAGCTGAACTTGAATGGCCATGGAACCTGGACTTAGAGCCTGGGGATGCTGAGCAACCATCTTTATGTAGCAGTTCTGAGTAATGACACTGTCTGTGCTGTGCTGCAGGTGGAATAACACCCCCATGGATGAAGCACTGCACTTCGGACACCATGATGTTTTTAAAATCCTCCAGGAATACCAAGTCCAGTACACACCTCAAGGGGACCCTGACAATGGGAAGGAAAGTCAAACTGTCCACAAGAACCTCGATGGGCTGTTATAATGGTCTGAAATCACTTACCTACTGAGTTGTGGAACATGATTATGAAGAACATGTATATTTCTAGCTGGTAGTGATGTGTATTTTACAACATTTGTCATTTCAGTGTTACTGGAGTTTCCTTCATTGTGCGCACAGGACACATCTGATTTCTTTGGGAAAAATAGAAATAAAACAACCTCCCTTCATAATGTGAGCAATAGTTACCTCGTGCGTTGTACAATTTGATGTAAAAGAATAGTTACCAATGCTAGCTGAATGGTGTGGTCTTCATGATTTATGTGTTTTGTAAATTTTCAATCCTGGGTGATGATATGCTCATCTGCATTTATGAGTTGAGCTTTGTTGTACAGTCTGTCCACAGGGGTCGATGCTGTTATTAGACGAAAACAGTGTGATTTTTAAGACATTAAATATAGATTTAGTTTGAGTGTTTGGACAACCATATGCACTAACATGGTTGAGTGTTTAAAATGTCTCCCATCACCCCCACTTCACAGTGTGACTCATTAAATATTAAAATAGCTACTAACTCTTCATAGAATTTGCCAATTCTGATTAGATTTTATCAGGGAATCTGTTGTTTGGTGACCAAAACATATGTGTGAATATAGTCTAGCACTTTGAAACCCTTTCCTTTCTATAATAGTCCTTAGGCCAGTCTCTCTGTGGTGTTTAGCTATCTGTCTCTTCCCCTTAGCTGGGAAGGAGAGTGAGTGCTGGCATGCTATGCAGTTTTCAAGTTTCCTCAGCAAGTCATCAAACCTCACAGTTTGAGCATCAGAGATAGAGCTTAGCCATCAATCTAGAGAAGATGAACCAAAATTAAGACGTCTAAATTAGCTATCAGTCTTAAGAGTAAAGACTGTGTGGACTTGTAAGTTCCTTTTCAGCTTCTACAATAAAGAAAAATTCAGAAATGCTTTCAGTTACCAGAGTTACAGTGATACATTTAGGAACTGCTACAGGTAACATTTGCTTTTAGCCTACTGTCAGAAGTCTGCATTAGCTGGCACTCTTTCTCAAGGGCCGGGCATCGTTCTGGATTCCTTCCCTCTGTTCCTGTCTAGATTGTATCACTCAGTAAGAAGAGATCACTTCACTGTAAATTTAGACTCACCATTGCTTTGTTTTGGGAAAGTAATTTATGATTAACTGAGAAAACAGGTAAAAGGGACCTTAAGAAGAACACAATTTTTTAGGAATTGAACATACTGTACCGTGTTACACCTCCAAGAGATGAGGGGTATGTTAGTGAGGACTTCTGATAATTAAGCACATGTGTGCATGCATGTACACACACAAATGCACTTCTTGGAAACTGCTTGTGGAATAAGCAAAATTCTCAACTACACAAATACTAGTGGTTACCACACTGATACAGCCTCCCCTTTGACCCTCACTGTCAACACAGATGGCATCCGAATTTTCTGATGCCTGATGGCACATTAATCACTCCAGTAGCCTCCAGCTGCTCTGACCCTCTTTTAACCACCACCTCCCATTCTCTAGCCAGCGCCTCCCTTGATGAAACTGTGGCTAGTGTCCCTTCACTGAACCAGGCACCACCAACATGTTCCTAAGTTCCAGAGTCCGGAGAGGATGGTGAGTAGGCACCCTGTCCTGTCATCGCTTTCCTGCTTCCACAGCCTCTCAAGACAGGTGAACAGGTGGAACCTGGAAACTAATATGTAGGGACATCACCTCCAAAGTTAAGGAGTAAACATGTTTTAATTGGAATCAATCAAGATGACACTATTCCCAAAGCAGTTGGCTTTGCGTGATTCAATGGGTGACTTAAATATTACCAGTGACTTTGAGGCTTCTCTGAATATTATTCTGTATATTATTTGAAAACAAAAGTTGTCATCTTTTCTGAGATCAGCGCTGTTTTGTACAGTCTTTGTGGCTCGGTTAAAAATGCTCTTTTCCCTCATGGTGTTAATGACTGTTTGCTATTGGCTGATAACAATGAGAACATTTTGTTTAAGTGCTTGAATGGGCTGTTACTGCTGCCATCAGTAAACTCCAAAGATCTTTTTTGGTTTTGGCTTTACAATCTTGTGTAATTTTTTCTGTATCATGGAAACAGTACATGGCCATGTTGATTTGAAGCTGTTGACACTGCTGTTTCTCTGTCCCTGTTCTAACACCCATGTCTGGTGATACACTCCACCCCACTGCTGCCCACACTATGCTTTAGCTGCACAGCTGGGTTTGCTGTTCCTGCTGTCTTATCAGGGACGAAAAGACCTGATATTGGATTTAGGTCCCTCCTGGGGGTCCAAAGCTATGAATGTATTTACTTCCGATGTTTCCCAAAATGAAATCTTAAAACTATAAATTGTAAGTATTCTGAAATTGGGAATTATTTATTTTAAATGAGGTCAGGTAGTGTTGCTTTTTACAGCATAATAAATACACATGTTGAAAACAAGCTGTGAGAAATGAATTTTCCTAAAACAACTTAAGGTTTTCTCTGCACTGTTGAGCTGTAAGTCTGTAGCCATTTTACATCCAGCCTGCTGTGAGCCAGGGAGCACCCAAAGTCACGTGGGATGTTTGGCCCACAGGACCAAGATGAGACCTGTGTATGAGGCCTCAGCTGTTGCTGTTAGTAGTGGGCAGGCTAGTTCAGCTCTCCAGAAGCTGGTACTGTGTGTATACAGTTAGCATGCTCAGGAGATCCCTGCTGCACTGTGCCGTTGCAGGCATCCTTAAAGGAGAGCATGTTCCCATGGAGCCTTGGAATCTACCTGCAGAGTAGATCCAGTGTTGCCACACTGGGATCTGAGTTGTACTAGCTGGCGGCTCCCCTGAATTCCTCACATGTGGGAATGGCTTTCAGTTCCAATGCCAGAATGCCCTGGTACTCTTGGGTTCAAAGTTAGTGTCTGGTTTTCTAACTGCAGAGAAAGTATGCAAACATCATACCAATCCCTTTTTCATTTTTATCAATGTTTTGTGCCACAAACCAAGCTGCTTGGTTATAGGAGCTGTGGCATTAGACCATCTCTATCACTGATATTTTAGAACTTGAAGTGACAAGTGAAATTATATGATCTAACCCACTCTTTTATTGATGAAGCTGGGACCCAAGAGTGAACCATGATGTGGAACTCTCAATCCCATATTCTTTCCCTGAACTCTAACGCACCGTTGCATGTAAAATACACATCTTCATTTACTTGAATTAGCGAACAGTTACAAGTTATAGTTTGTTGGATGAGTTTCAGAGCCAAGCATGACAGAGTTAAGTCCTGCAACATCAGTCAACTCCTACTGCACATGTATTTATCTGCAGATGGAAGCTTGGTGGCATTGCAGAGTCAATAGATAACCCAAATAGTGAAAATTTATATTTGTTAATATGATAATGATCATCCTATTTTATGGCACTTTTTTTTAAGGAGTTCAGGGTAATTTTGTTAACCCCTATAGTAACATGAGTAAGTTCATAAATCTTGGATGTTCAAGGAAGCAACCCATGGATGTACTGGGTGGCTCTTAAACACACTTTTCATGAATGGGAAATTATCCAGGTATGAGAGGATGTGAGTTAGGCTAGAGGGTGTATGTGTTTTTGGGATAGAAGGGTCTAGACCTAGCAATAATTAGGGTAGTTGTTTTAAAATGAGGTGACAGAAGCTAACACAACGGGCTGGAAGGCATTACAGGACTGCTCAGAGGGCTCATTTCTGTGCTGGAGTTTGACCTGACTGGGCCGTGTGGAGCAGCCACGCCTCGTGCTGCCTTTTCACATGAGCAGTAGAAGATCGGCTATGCAGCTAGGCAGTCACGACAACAAAAATATCATGACTTTATGTACAAGGCATGGGAAAGGCTGTAAACACTCCAGCAGTAAGCAACTGAGTGTTACAGCCCAAAGTTAGTTTCCCAGAACACGAAAGCTGGGTCTCACTGGTTATCATTCGACAGTCAAGACTTTAAAGCAGTCCCAAGGAGCCCCGGCTTCCTGCACTCAGTTTAAATGCTGTTTCTTGGAACTTATGTACACTTTCCTATAACATTTACATTATCTGTAGCTTTTGACTAGTTGGAAATATTAGATTATATGCACTACATGAGTGTCTGGTGCCTGTGGAGGTCAGAAGAAGGTATCAGAGCCCCTGGAACTGGAGTTAGAAATGCCTGTGAGCCACCATGTAGGTGCTGGGAAGCATCCCTAGGTCCACTGCAAGAGCAACAAGGGCTCTAATCCACTGACCATTAAACTTAAATGGGTAAAGTGGCTACTGAAGGTAAGGCCCAGTATCTGAGAACATCTTAAGTTTATGACAGTGGGGCATTTGTTTTGTTTACTAGTGTCTTCCAAGCATCTAGAATAATGCCCAATTCAAGGCAGATACTCAATATATTTGATGAATGTTAAACAAAAGATGCCTTCAGGTAAATAATACCCTCAAGATGGGGAGCAGCCTCCCAGCTCCAAAAGTAAAGAACTTTATAACTTTCCAGCTTAGTCTGGCACCTTCCGTGTGCGCTCGGGTGTCATGGGTCCGCTCTGTTTGCCAACACATGCCTTCACATTCCATGTTAGTTTTCAGGCAGTCAAAAGATTTCATTTAGGGCTGGACAGATGGCTCACAGGTTAAAGAGCACAGGCTGCTCTTCCAGAGGTACTGAGTTCAATTCCCAGCACCACATGGGTGGTTCACAACCATCTATAATGAGATCTGGTGCCCTCTTCTGGTGTGCTGGCACAGAGGCCAACATAACACTGTATACATAATAAATAAATCAATCTCTAAAAAAAAAAATAGATTTCATTTATGTAACACCACCTCAGAAAGTGCCTAAATACAACCAGTTTATCCCAAGAGCTACATGTATGCTCTATTCTTACAGCATATATCATATATGCTAGTATACCATCCTAAACATACTGAAACACACAAACATCCCTAAACTGGGACATGTTTGGTGACTTCTTATAACAGTCAATTACTAAGAATGTAAATGGGTTGTCTTCCACGGACTTAGATACCTCTCATGTCCCACCCCCTCTTTTTTCAGGAGTTATAAACTCATATAGCCCAGGCTGGCCTTGAACTTGCTGTGTAGTCAACAATGACTTTAAACTCCTGATCCTCATGCCACTGCCTCCTCACAAGTGACTTCATCACGGTGCCTGCCCACTGATGTACCTTAAACTGCCATAGTTACTGTGACTACCAGGACAGTAAGCAAGGGTAACACCTAAAAATTAGTATTATTAATCTTATTTTAAAATAGGCCTGATACATAAATGAGATATATATTAAACCAACTCACAAAACTAAATATTTTAAATATCTTTATATTAAATACTAATAGACTAACATCATTAAAGTCTCAGTTCAGCAGAGTGAAACTGTAACAACTATTCTCAATAGACAGTGTAAGCAATAGTTAGATTTCAGCATTCAGAAACAGTACTTTTTAAATGTTTAAATGTTTTGTCTCTTGATCGTTTCAATTTAAGAGTCTGTGCGAGCCCAGCTAGTCCCACTCTGTACACAGAAAGAGAGGAAGTCTCCGTTTCTGTGTGGGGCTAAAGAAAGGCCTGGACATGTTTAGTGCGGCACACACTTGTGTTGCGGGTTTGAAGTGGACTTGTCTCCACTGAAATAAAACAAACGATTACGGGACAATACAGCTGTGGTAGTGACAATGGAAGACAGCTACAGCTGCATGGACAGCAGTCTGTGACAGCTGCCCAGAAGAACCTTGCCAACCAACATCTGGCCCACTGCACTGTGCTGGTACCACTGAAGAAAGTGGAAAAAACAGCACATGCCATCAAAAAACGTGTGTGACAAGACACAGGACAGACCTTGGAACCTTTTATGAATGTAATTGTCAGAAAACACATATATCAGTGAAAATAGTTTTCAGTACTGTTATATAGATTATGTTTTGAAATTATTTGATACTCATATTTGACTTAACAATTCAAGTCAGCTACTCCCTTTTTTTCTCCAATTTTATGGCTAATTAAGACAAACCGACTAAAAACAATAAAGACAGCCTATTTAAGTACATGAATTGAACTGCCAGATTTATCTAGATAGATCTCTAATTCCAACATTAAAAAAGTATCTGCCTTAAGAAAGCTGGCTCCCTTAAAGGATGTGCAAAGATAGTTTTATTCAACTGATGACCAAAATGACAGCACAAACCACTTAGCTTGGTGGAGTATATATTAAACAGAAACTACTTGTGAATTTGGAAATGTTCTTTCTTCTATGGGTGTTTAGTTTCATTTAGCCATAACCAACAACAAAGCTAACTCTCTGAAAAGAGCAATCATGCCTTTAGTTATACATGGCCAGGGCAGAAGGTGTTTCCTCCTGTTCAGAGGAGGATGTCCACTATAGTTTGATATATCATTGTATATAAAGTGGGCTTTGACCTGTGCCATAGATAAAACAGTGGAAGACTTCCAGTCATAAAGCGGGGGGGGGGGGGGATACGCCAGTATCTTCAGGACAGAAATATTCCTACATCAAGAGGTCCCCATAACTGTGTTCAGTGATGTGTAGCAGTTGGGCACTGACTACACAGCATTTACTAGATGTTACTATATTCCTCACCTTTCCCAAAACACTCGCATTCAAGTCCCGATACCTTGGGTGGATCTGTTTTTTGTTCACAGAATCTATTTTGCATAAGTGACTTTCCGTTTCACCTTCAGTAAGATGCATGAAGTCCTTCAGAGTAACAGGTTTCTAATTAGAGAAATAGCTACTTGCTATCAACAGGGTGCAACAAATGTGTTGTTCTTTCTTGCATTTCCCTAGAAATACAGCATGTGAAGGAACAGTAGCAGGAGGGAATCACAGATGGGAAGAAAAATGTCTCCAGAGAAGAGAGAAATTCGTGATTATACTGCGCTCATCTGCAAAAAGACAAAATGAAGTTAGGTTGATTGTACAGATCTCATGACATGTGATTCATGTGTCTAACACCATTGCCCTTAGAGCAGGAGGATGCTTCCTACAGCAAATTACCACCATGGAACCAGAAGGGCTAGCATGTCCCATCCTCCCCGAACTAATCAGGGCCGCTTACATCACCTAAACTGATGGGTTATTCCTCTCTGACCTGCTGGATTAATTTGTGACTCAACCCAGACAGACTATATAAAGCTTTCTGCTGTTATGCAAGTCTGGGGACAGCAGCCTGGTAAACCAGCTCATTCAGAATGAGTGTGAGGAAATGCTGAGCCATATGCCTGAGGGAGACAGGGATAAGAGGGAAATGATGACGTTCCCTTAAAGGCCACTGAGTAGACAAAATAAACAAAACCTGTTTCCAATGTGGGCCAGAAAAGTAAAATCACTACGAAGCACTTCAGCTCCCTACCCTAGCCTGCCCAGCTGCCCTGGATACAGGAGTTTGTAGTTAGTAAACTGTCCATCAGACTACACTGGC